AAGTTTTGATCCGAAATTAACAATATACGAATACTGGCTTGATAATGATCGTTAATCTAATTATAATTTTATAATTTATTTAAAAATATACTTGTTTTTAAAAAAAAAATACTCTAATAAAAAATCATACTTTATTGAACATTCTAATGCAGAGTTATGTTTGCAATTTATTAATAGGTACTTTTATTCTTTTAAAAAATTTATTGCAGGCTAACATTCTAAAGGCTACAGATAAAAAAAATATTTTAAAATATATAATTGTTATTTTTTAAATTGAAGAAGGAAAGTTGTCTATCCGAACTAATTAAGTCATGAACACATAAAATTTCTATATTTGCTCCCTTTTGATGGTACAAATGATTTATTTTTAATAATAGTAAATGAAAAAATTCCACCTTCCACCGTCATCTCAATTTCATACATGACTTTAGAAAATGGTTCATCCTGAAACGATAAGTAAATTTTTCTAAAATACTGTCAAACTCATATTTTTGTATTGTTTGTTGTTCAAGTGAGCAAACGATTTAAATGAATTTCAAGTTATTTTACGTATTGGGCTTGGTGTAGTTGATGGGTACTGTAGTACCACAGAAGTATACTTTTGTGGTAGTACTTAACTTCAATCTTTAGGTTTTCAAAGAAATGTGTTTGATTTGTTTAATGTCATTTGAGACAGAAAAATTATTGTCAAAGTGAATGAAACCCTTTCAAATGAAGGTAATCTAGACATGGCAATTCCGCAGGGATCTATATTGGACCCATTGATAATTCTAATATTTATAAACAATTTACAAACATACATAAACACAGATTGCATTGTCCTATATGTATATGATGTGTCAGTGGTGTCTTATGCGAATTCTTTTGACAAACTTTCAAACAAATCTCTATTATAAATTCAATGAATAGTATCCACGGAATCGCTCCCAATATTAAATTCTAGAAAAACCATATTGATGAAATTTAATATTATAAATAACATTGAGCATATATTAACAGTGACAACAGTCTAAATATGACATTATCCGAGTCTGCAAAATTTCTGGGAACATTTCTTGATAGCATCTTATCATTCCAATCGTTAGTAAAAAAAGTTAATAGTGGGTAGTGGGTATTACCTATGCTATATTTTAACTCAAAAATATTCTAAACAAACAACATAAATTATTACGCAATGAAACCTATATTCTCATTTAATATAATGATATCGGCCAACGAATATCTTCTAATATCCCTTTGCTTGTATTCTAACATCCCCATATAATAAAAAAAATATTAGCAAGTACAATCAGGAATTCTAAAGATCCAGTCTCTGAGGTTGCTTTATTTTACGACCTGTCTTAGTTTCTTTTTGTTTAGACAAAAATGCTTTCTCAGAGTCTGTTTCTACCATATCATTGCTACTATTACTACACTGAGCATTATTAGTACTCTCATTGCTAGAGGATGTGTGCATAACCGGTGTCTCTGTCACATCAGTCATATCTGTTGAATCTATCACTTCTGTAGTATTCGTTTCTGTATCTTCAAACACTTCACTATCACTGGATTCACTGAAAGTGCTATTTTTACAATTATTTTCGTTTACAACAGGATTTACAATTTGTAATTCTGATTGTGTATCCTGTTCCAACTCAATGTAATACCTAATTTCAACTTTGTCTTCTGTATCATTTTTGTCTTTTTCATTTTTTTATAATTAACGTTTGGTTTAATTTTAGCATTATACGATTTTATGAACCGCCTGTTTCTAATTAATATTGATCCATTATGCATTTTAACTTTATAGGTTTTATCAATTATGATTGCAGGAGACCATGTTGAATTTGGTTTTACTTGTATTACTACAGGTGAGCCTATTTCTAAAGGTTTTAGTAACTGGGCTCCTCTGTTGTAATATTTTTCACAATTATTTTTTCTATTTTGTAAAAAGGAATTATATGTTTTCATATTAACAAGTTTAGGACTATATGATTCCTTCTTACCTGGAAGTATTGTTCTTAATCTACGTGACATAAGTATTTCAGCTGGTGAGTGACTACCATCAACAGCCATAGTAAGATACATCAGTAGAGCTAACTGGATGTCCCTTTTGTCATCTAGTACCTTTTTAAATGTTTTTTGCTATTTGTATATTTCTCTCTTCCATGCTATTTGATTGTGCATATGTGGGTGAGCTTATAATATGTATGAATTCCCACTCATTTGCAAACTGTTTGAATTCACGTGAAGAAATTGTGGACCTCCATCAGAGACCACTGATAATAGTATTCCATGGCGAGCAAACACTGATTTTAAAATTTCATTTATGCGGTAAGCTTCTGTACTATTGCCTAGTCTTTCAATTTCTATGTATTTAGAATAATAATCACTTAATAAGATATATTTTCCCCCCTTAGCTCAAAAATATCCACACCAACCTTATTTGGAATTTCATGGCTAGTTAGTGGTTCTGACAATTGTGATTTAGCATATTTAAGACACATCAAGCAATCAGATATTTTTTGTTTAATTTCATTGTTCATAATGGGCCAAAAAATTGAATTATTTACTAACTGTAAGCATTTTTTAATACCCTGTTTATCATTTCTTTGTGTAAACTTTTTGGTTCCACTAAGGCATTGCCTTTGTAAATTATCTAATCATTTTTAGTTAGTTCACTTTTCACTTTTATATTTACATATTTTTTAACACACTCTTAGTTTTGAATTATTATTAGGCCACCCATTTAAAATAATTTTTTTCAATTCTTGTAATTCTAGATCCTGTTTTGTTTTATCTTTGAACTCTTTTAATTTGTTTTCTGTTATATTTATTTATGATACCATGATACAAACATGTGAAGATATCTCTTTATCAAATTCAAAATCATTTTTGTCATTTTCATTTATATACGATCTACTAAGCGCATCTGCTATAATGAGATTCTTTCCACGTTTGTATCTAACTTCTATGTCATACTTTTGTATCTGCATAAGCATTCTTTGTAAGCGTGCTGGGCATTTGTTCAGTGGTTTTTTAAAAATACTGATTAATGGAAGGTGATCAGTTTATACTATTATCTTTTTAACGAAAATAAATTCATGGAATTTGGGCATACCTGCACTGTGTTTCTGTTAATGCCTTGAAGGCATATGCACATGGTAATCCACCTTGAAGTAGGGCTGCTCCCAAACCTGTACTTGAGGTATCTACTGAAACCACTGTCTGCACTCACATCGTAAAATTGAAGTACTGGTGTATTAGAATTTTTTTGAAATTAACAAAAGCTTGTTCATGTTCTGGCATCCACATGAACTCTGTGTCTTTTTTTTATTTATTTAAATTGAAACGTACATTATTTTTCGTGCAATTAATAAAATCTCTTTAAGTCTTACATCATGTTCAGTTTTGTCTTTTCCCCAGACAAGTAGATCATCGATATATGTGTCAGCACCATCTATGTTGAATATTTCTTTAAAACGAGTTTGAAACACCTCAGGGGCTGACTTTATGCCATATGGTATTCTTAGAAATTTAAATCTCTGAAATGGAGTACCAAATGTGCATAAATTTGCACTTTCTTTATCTAACGGTATTTGGTAAAACCCCTGAGTTGCGTCTAAAGTACTAAACACTTTGGCATTTGCAAGTTTACTAGTTATTGATGATGGTGGGTGAGGTTTTCCGGGTTTTCCTCACCTGTAAGTCAAATGGCACCATCAATCATCTTTAAGTCGCCTCGGAGCGCCACGGCAAATAATAATAGCCGTCCCTTTCCCCGGACAAGCTCAGCTTTTGGGGTTAAAATTCACTCGTAAGGGGGTGAATTAGGGAGAGTATTATTATTATTATTATTATTATATTATTTGTTTAAATGTTGGAGTTGTACAAAATTCCCTCTTTATCACTTTATTTAGTTCAATAGGGTCAAAACAGATGCGCAACTCCTAATTAGATCAAGAGGCTGTACCCACTCAGAATGTCCTTGAACTTTTTCTATAATTTGCACCGATTCTAATTCTTTTAAACTCTTTTAAATTGAAGAACTTGTACCGTTCATCAATTAAATTTTCCTTCCCACGGACGTGCTCATCGCATTTTTTCATAATTCTACTAATTTGTCCTTCTGGTCCTCATTGAATTTAAATGTCTTATATATTTTGAATGCATCCTCACCAATATAGTGCAAAACTTTTTATTAACTTCGGACCCTATTATGTAGTTTTCAAACCTGGATTTCCACATTTTCCAATTCTCCGAAGCATTTTATCTCAAGGATAATGGCGTGATACCTCTGTTATCACCCATTGTGAATTTTAAATTGTAATTATCGGTAATTTACCTCGGAATTTGACATAATAATTATTGGTTCGTCGTTAACTGACTGCGCCATATAATGTTTGGTATTTGTATTTGTAATTAGTTTATGGATGATCGTAATAAAACTGGAATTTAGTCTAGACCACTTTATCGTAACATGTCTAACCTCTAATGTCTGCTGTCAACTGTCTGTCGAGTGCCAAGTGTCAGCACTTCTTATTTAGACTACTGTAGCCTCGTACTTACCTACATCCTAACACCGTGTAATAATATTATTTTTCTAGAATAAAGAATTTGTTTCATAAAATATAGGGAAATAGACAAAAATTCATAAATCAGTTTTCTACGAATTCTATGCTTCCCATTAAATAAAAGTTACTTCAGAATGAGAGATCATCCATTTTTAATCAAAGCTACCTCGTTACATAATGCGAAGTACCTATTCGCCTTTCTATTTTCTATGTAACAGGAAAATATCTGCTTGAGATTGTAGTTTCGTAATGACGATCTCTATGTTTCTGATTTATTGTAATGTATCATCGAGTAGTCCATGTATTGTAAGTAAGACCTTATCAAAGACTACTTGATTTTTTATACGTTCATCGCCATATTTTCTTTAGTTAAGAATATATTATATTAGAAATTAGTGCCTTATTCTTAGCTATTCTTTTTTAAAAAATATTTTTTCTGTTGTCTAGAAAATCCAGTCTTCCGAAAATGGACTGGAGAAGGAAACCAGATTACGCTGAAAATGCATATCGAGAAGCAGTGGGTCGATTGAGAATCCTCCTCGCCGAAAGCTATACTCCCATCAAGAGACCTCTTAAAGAATTGGACAGCGCAGGTGAAGAAACTGATAACCAGTCGTTACTAAGCGTTGGAAGCAGAAATTCTAGATTCAGCAGACACTACTATCATTACAATCCAGTGACACCAAAAAAGTACTATTATTATCCGAATTTTAGAAATCAGTATCCTTTGAGTACTGATCCTGAAAAGCCACTGCCGTAAGTATACGGATGTCCCATTTGTAAGTAATTGTTCAATATTTCAATTTGTGTTATAGACACGCAAACAGGTTTCAAAAAAAGTTATATGGATTTTAAAAATATTTTTGTATGTGTAGATAGGGTGTTGCGTTTTTGCCTAGCTAATATAAATGTACATTTTTTAAATAGAACATTCTGTATTTTGTTTTAGTTTTAGAATGGTTTATTAATACTGTTTTTAACCCTAGATTTTAATTAAAAAATATTACAGGGTTGCCAAGCAATTAATTTTTTTATGAAATTAGATAAAAATGCAGACCCCAAATTAAATTATCATAATTTAGGTACGTTTACAATGATTTCAAAATTGTTTAAAATAATAACTCATAAGCTAAGCTAACGAATAGTCGTAATATAACTGAATTATTTTATACAGAGTGTTTTGATACAGGTCTTAAATATGGATAATTTTGAGTTCAATTTAAAAATTTTTTTCAAATTCAACACCCTGTGTATTATTTTAGCATAAAACTCGTTATACATTACTCTATCCAACGATACCAACAAGTTAGCCAATAACACATATACAAGGTGATCCATCAGTGCGTAATTGCTCGATAGCTGTTTTATTAGTGGAAATGAAACAAGTTAATATGAAAGTTGTATGACCAAATCTATACATTTTTAAAGCTAAACACCCTGGGTGCAAGTAGTTATACATATTTGATTGTTTTCACATCGAAAAACAATTTTAATTGTCTTCATGTATTTTGCTATGTATTTTCTAAATTTATAAATGGAATGCCCTGTATGTTATATCAATAATTAATTAATTTAGCGTATTCCAATTAACAAAAAATAAGAAAATCGTAACCTCGCGTTTTGTCACACCCTATATACAACATAGCAAATTAATAAAGTAAATTAAAATTGTTTGACGAGGTGAAAACAAATATGTATAACTACCTGCTTTAAAAAAATAAGGGTTTAAAAACTTATATATTCAAAATTTCTTCGTATTTCCAATAATAAAACAGTTAATCAATTCGTACTGATGGGTCACCCTGTATATGTGTAATTAGCTAATATGTTGATATCGTTGGATAGGCAAATTTATAAGGAATTGTATGATAAAATAATATACAGGGTGTTGCATTTGAAAAATGGAGTAGGGGAAGCTGTTGTACCTCGGAACACATTTTAGTTTTAATTCCAAAGTGTAGGTAGCATATTTTTTTAAGTCTTGCTTTACTTTTATACACTTCTCTTTTAAATTAACGTCTACACATTTTTTATTAAAAAATTTAAATTTGTTTCAAGGTACACGAACGTTCATGTACCTTGAAACACTTAGTGTTGTACCTCGAAACATTGTGAAAAAATTTAATAATAGTCAAAAAAAACTTAAATATTTTATTAAATTTCAATTAAAAAATACAACATTCGCATAATATTATTTGGTGTTGAACTTATAAAATGGAAAAGTAAAGGTCTTGTCATTTTTTGTTCTTGCAGTGCCAATTGTATTTGTGCAAGATAACTTTACCACTATGTCTCCAATGTCAATAGATGCTACATCTGGTACAGATGGATAATGAAATGTCTGAGGCGATCTTTTTCGTAAGAAACTCACGGAAAATTCAGTTGTAGAAAGGCATTTTTGTATACAACCTACATAATGAACAACTTCAGTTTTTCCTTTAAAAGAGACGTGCACAAAATCTCCAACTGCCACGTCGTCTGATGTTAGCGGTTCTAGATCCATGTCACTATCGCCTTCATTATCTGAAGAGGCTGATAAAATATCATTAAGCGTCTTTCCTTCAACATCACTTTCCTCCTCATAGATAACTGCCTCGTCACTGCTATTGCTGTTCGAGCGTCTCTTAAACAACTTTTTAGTTACCTGCTTCCTTTTTTATTTTTTTCCTTTTCTTCTTTTACTTGCTTTTTATTAGAAGTTCCTCTCTTTCTGGGGTATCGGTTAATATTTTAGTGGTTCCACGGGCTCTTTTTCTTTTCCGTTGGGTTGTTGCTTTTGGAAACAGCCTAACTTCTTGTGGAGATATGAACGTCACAAGGTCTGACTGCTCGAGGGATTTAAATGCATCTGGTCTTGATGAAGGCCCCGCGATCGCTACGTCTTCGGCAGCTCTTACAACATTATGTAATTCTGATAAAGATCCTGCAACAGATGTATTTTCAGTATCCAGCATTGGTCTATCTGTTACCGAAGAAGGTAAGAACAGATCTTCATCAAAAATACCTATATTTAGAGGATAGATCCCAGTATTTTTAAATCCGCTACAAATGTTAGTTGTTCAAAAAGCTCGAGGAAAAGCAGATCCTACTATTTCAGCAACATTATAAATTGAGAATGTCTTTCCGTTATTGTTAATATGCCATGCATCCAAACCTTGGTTGTAGAAAATTTTAAACGGACCAAAAACGCTAACATCTAGTGGCTGTAAGCGATGGCTGGTATGGGAAGGGAAAGTAACTATCTTGATACCATTTTTTGATAACTTTGCCTGATGCCGTTGCATAAAATGACGCATCCATTCTTCTCCTGCTAATTTTTCCTTTTCCCAATTTGCGGGAATTTTCTTTCTATTTGCTATGGCAAATTTGAATGTAAGTTCTCGCACACCTTTTTTAGTTAGACCATAATGCATTTTTGCAACAGTAGTGATATAGTCTACTAAGCTGTTTTCTTCTTCTGAAGAGAAAACTTTCTTTACGTCCAAATTACATTTGTATGTAAATTCTTCTCCGTCACTATTACGGTGTGCTCGAAGATGTCGTGATAGTGTAGCAACTGATACTTTATAGACCTTAGCAGCTTCTCTCAAAGAAATGTTTTCTTCTTGATCCCGAGTGACTGCTAATATAGCTTGCTTAAGGTTTTCGGTGTTAACTGGTGGTCGTTTTAATCCTGCTTTACTTGGCATTATCAAACCTGAAACAACGTATTGAGTTAGCAATGAAGATTATTCTTAATCCTAAATTACTTGGTTTTTGAATTATATAGTGTTTCAAGGTACACGATGGATGGTGTTTCAAGGTACAAGAGATGACTCCATTTTATAAATTGTTTCTATATTTTCTCCAGAACCATGATAATAAATTGTAAACCTACTGAATATACCAAAAAATGGTTGTAATTTTAACTGTAGAAAAATGAAATATTTACCTTGTGCCGTCTAGAAGTAATATGCCACTATTTCACTTTTAATTTTCGAACTAAAATCGCCTAGTTCACAAAACACTAAGTAAACGCTACGTGTAACATACAAAACCACACTGATAAGATAGGTACGATACATGGTGCACTTCTCTGAGAAACATGATCACTAGAGAGCGACACCTACTTTCACAGTTTGAAGTGTTTCAAGGTACACTGTTATTAAGGTACAACAGTTTTCCCTAAATTGAACTTAAAATTAGCCATATTTAAAACATGTTTCAAAACACTCTGTATAAAATAATCCATTTCTATAATCACTATTTGTTAGATTAGTGTCTTTTAAAAAAATGGTAATGTTTTTCAAAAACAGTCTAGGGTCAAATACAGTATTAGCAAACCATTCTAAAAATAAAATAAAATACAGGATGTTCTATTTAAAAAATTACATTTTTATTTTCCACGCAAAAACGTAAAATCCTGTATATCCAAAAATAATTTTAAAGTATGTATTTTTCAAATCCATATAACTTTAAATTGAAACTTGTTTGCGTGTCTTTAACACAAATTGAAGTATTAAACAATTACGCACTAAAGGGGTATAGTTTACTTTAATCGATGAAATTATTTTTGCAAGCTTTTCTTGTTAAAGTGAACGTCTTATCTTTTAGCGAACTTCCCAAATTAGATAACACTGCTCCACCAGAACTTGTTTCTTTTATTGAAAGACAAGAAGATTATATTGAACAACTTGAAAAAGAATCACGTTTTTGCAGGGTAAGATCATGTTTTTACTGTATTAATAGCGTATTGATAACCAGCTAGCAACCACATCATTATGACGTCATTTTTGGGACACACTAGCTTGCGACGTAATACGACATGCAAATGACGTATAAGTGACGTCGATCTGTATACGTTGCGGAAAAGTAAATATCGTCTAATGACGTCACATCGTACGTTTCCGGGACGTCATAATCCAGAGGAGATTGCTCAATATTGGGCAAGGAGTGCGTGACGTCATAGGCAGGGTTGACTCTTTTTATTATCGCAAGACGAACACAATGGGAATCACAAATGACCCAAGTGGTAGTTTGCACTTTAATAAACTCTGTGTGTGTATGAAAAAAAAATAATCAAATAGGAAATAGATATAACAAGAACAAACAAGAAATAATATGTGTAAAACTGATTAATCATAGATCAGCAAATTGAAATTTGACATATTTAACACATTCCTACAGATATCCGTTTATATCCACCGGCCAACTCGGAGAAGAATGAGCTCGCTCTGAGTACGTGACTTTTGCAAGCCCCAAGAGTATGCTCCGAGTGCCAAGACGACCACAGTTGAGGCACACCGAATGCACCCTGAGTACAGTGAACACTAAGCCGAACTCAGCCTATATATAAGAAGTTATCCACAAAAAATGCTTCTAAAGTAGTCCTTGGATATGGAATGTAGAGGAAAGGAGAACAATCTCATATGGTTGTTTATTTCAAAAAGTGTTCCCCAAAATATACGAAATTAAGATGGCGCTCGTTTACTAGAAGGGAAAGAACAAATGATATATAATTATATAGATAGCTCACCTATTTGTAAATCAGAATACGAAAAACACTATTGTCGTCTGTTATCAAAATTTCTTTACGATTATTAGATCAGTCGTTTTTCACAATTGCTTTCCACGATGTAGTTTTTAGTTTTTAGACTCTACATTCCATACATATGGCTTAATTATCAGTTTGGATTTAACTCAGAGCTGTATCTCTGTCTTTGTCGATTATGACTTGCTTAGAAATATCTTTTGTGGATCACTCTTATTAGTTTTTAACTTTATTTAATAATCTACAAGGTATACATAACAAATTCCTTATGCTACAATTTTTTTTGTTCTGTTTTTGTCGACTTTTATTCATCTCTGATGAGGCTGAAGCTATAAAAAAAATGGACTCACCACTCTCCGAAGTTCAAACATGTGTTCGCGTTCGTAATCTTTAAATAATTTGCCACTGAGCAACTAGGGGAAAAATACCGATTTATTTTAAAAATGTATTTTTTTCATGTTTCTTTTACCCGAGCCCAGCCTCCCAGAATTATTTTCGAAGGCGCCTACGGATATGTGTTTACAAAGTAATTATTCTGTCAAAAAAATTAATTTGTTTTTAAAATGTTACGCACCGTCTTGTGCCATTTTTACAGAAAAACTAACTAGGAATATTGCCGGAGAGGCTAGCCGCGAGCTTAGTGTGCATCCACTTACTCGCAACAGTTAAGCAGTGATCTCTCCGGTCACGTCGTGGATGAGTGACCGCTGGGAGGTTCCACCATGGGCCGTGTCACCATGGGATTCATCCGACTAGCGTTTAACCTTCGACGACGTGGAATGAATGAATGAGGGTGTGAATGGGAAAGAGTAGTAGGACCTTCAAATGGTGGTACAATAAACCGCAGGCTGCAGTGCTGCCAGACTACAGACGGATTAGGGTGTAGCACGGGAGGTCTGAAGAGTGTAAAAAAAACTAGGAATATTTGATCACCGACCTTGCCAAATTAATATATTATTAAACTATCAAAAATTGTCTCATTTGCAATGAACTTCAGTGAGTAACCCTCAAATATGATGTTCTGGCGCCATTTTTAAATGGCAACAATCCGTTTGGGGTCTGATGGATTCATATTTTTGTCTTTTAACCTATATAAAGAGAATACTGCTTTCAAATTAGTTTATATTTTTTGTTTGATGCAAATAAAATGTAAATATTTATCCAAGCAATATTATTTAGTAAAAAAATTAATGCTTAATATGTTTTAACCATCACTTATTTAATGAAACAAATAAAAAGGGACAAGATCCGGTGAATACATCTAACTTAGAAAAAAGTCCAATGTTCGTTTTCTTGTGAGTATCTGCTTGCGGAAATTGCAGATGATGTGGACTGCTTTAAATTGGACAGAGCTTGTTCGAAGAGAAACCATAGCCGTACTGCCATTTTTTAGATCTCCATAACTGTTCCAAACCACAGTTTTACCTACACGATGAATTAATGTATTTGTCGATACATCTCAATTGTTATTTAATCTTTTTAGGAAGAATTGTCATCTCTTCTGAGTAAAGTCAAAGATGTTATCAGCGAGAACGAAAATTTGCACGAAAGGCAAAAGTCAAAGTTAATTAAATCCGTCTTCGATCATCTGGAAACAGAAACGGAAACTGAGACTGAAATCGAAAACAAAAGTGTAAGTGTTTTAGTCTAAGATTACAATATTCTGCACCTTTCTGTTATTTTGATTAAACTTAATTACCTAACATATAAAAAAACAATAAATCTTAACTAGATTTTCTATCAACCATCCTGACCAACCCTGATCCTACACCCTTTCATTACGTTATATATATATGTATGTCATCGATTGGTATTTTTAGTTGCACTTTAAAAAAAAAAAAATTATTTAGGGTATGTCATGTAACAGTAGCCAATACCAATTTTCTTATTTTAAATGCAACACCCTGATATTTTTCAATTTTTGGATTCTTCAAAAAATTCTAGACATATTTTATGTACTATGTCCAATACCTAACTGTTTCGGAAATATTAAATGTTTTCAGATTTAGTGCAAAAATTAACATTAACAAAATAAAATTGTTTGCTTACAGAAATTCGCTACAACACACTCAATACTTTTTTCCCATTTAGGTCTTGATAATGAGAAAGTAAGCAAAAACCATTTCAACGTTCCTTCCTACTGATATGAAATAAAATAGCTATCCTTAAATAGTTTTGTTTACTTTTGTTTAAAACGTCTGACCTTAGCGAATTGTTCTCCGACTGCATGATGTAATTGTCAGTGTTATAGTCGTTTGAATTTCCTTAACTGCATATCAGAAAAATGGTTAATTTAACCCTCATCAGACTGCAAACAGTGGCACGTCGTTTTTTCCTAATACCCTTCTGTGGAAGTTCTTCTCCTCTTCAGGATGGTATGTCCTGATTAAAATAGTAATAACCTCATTCCTAAGTGTTGGCGCATGGGACCTGTGTGGAAAGTTGTGTTCTCAAAATAATATCGTCAATGTTGCTATTTCCAACTTTACATATGGACAAGTCCATAATATAAGATGGGAAATACAATTTAGGAAAACCACGAAAACCTAAATCGATAATGTACAGTATTATGACAATGGGTGTATGATTGAAATGGGTTGGTTTAACTTATATATAATGGAGCTGAAGTCCAGAAACACTTGGAGTTCAGCGATGAGTGAGAGATTTTGAGAGTCTAAGAGTAATGTTATGTTAGGTTGGGGAGTTTTATTTTCCGTTTGCGAAATAATGGGAGCCGCCGAGGGCGCCAGAGACTTTGTAGAGTGTTTTGAGAAAATGTTTGAGCCTTTCAGAAGTGCGAGAGGGTTTAGAAACAAATGAAAATGGTAGTGAAGGGCTCTGATAAAGTTGTTTTCAAAAACTTATCATCTGGAAGAGTGAGAGGCTTTGGAAACGAGTGAGAATGGTGGTGCTAGACTCTGCTGGAGATGTTTTCGTAAATTTCTCCGCTGGGAGAGTGAAAGGGAAGATATCGGCATTGTTGGAGTATGCGTCTATCTAGTGTGGTGAGTTTGTGGATAATATGTATTGGGAGGTACTGCTATGTACTCGGCAACGGGGCGGGTAAAAGAATTGTAAGTTTGAATTGGATTGTTGCGGTTACATCGTCCAAATCGTCCATCTACAAAGCTCCAAGGAAACAGGCTCGTCATCGTATCTTATCGAGAGTGCGTTGGACATCCGAGGACCAATTAAGAGTACGAGAGAATCGCAGTCCCAAATAGTCAACGTTAGTCTGTTTGGCGAGTCTGACTCCCAGGAGATTTACATTAACGTTATGGGGAAGCTGGATGATCCTTTCTGAGTTTGAATGTTTAAAAATGATTAATGATTTTGTGGGTTGATTGAGATCCTTCATCTGTTACATCGGCGGGAGAGAGTGCTCGAGTACTTAGTGGGTCAGAATTTTTAGCTGCCGAGAGTAGAACAGGATCATCGGCATAGAGAAGTTATTTTAACGATGGGTGGTTTGGGAGTGGAATGTCGTATATATACTGTGTGGAACAGCCAAATGGAAGAAATTTGTTTTTTCCTCCGTTTTTTATTAAAATTAATCATAGCTTAAATTAAAAATAATTTTATTCTTTACAGAATAATATTAGGTTGTCCAAGAAAAAATTGATCTCACTTATCATTGCCACAGTTTAAAAAATTAATTTTTGATTGCGTGACAGAGAAGGGGCGCGTGTTGTGTTATTTAAGAGTTATTTCACTTTCTTTTAGTGTCTAAAATCTCCAAGAAAGCAACGAAAAACAATGCACATAGAAGGACCATCTATTGTTTTTGAATCAAGAATATCGGAACTAGAAGCACAATTAACGCAGTGTAAAATAGATTTAAAAAAATCTCAAGATGAAAATGACACACTTAGAAGGAGAATTAATGATGGAACAATATTGGACAGCGTCGGATATGAGTCTTATAAAAAACAGCTAGAAAATGTACAAAGGTAAAGTAAGATATTTTTTTGTTGTCAAACCCTTTCAATTCTATTATCATTATACCACCTTTAATTCGATTATTTTTTATTTTTTTGTAGATTTAAAATTTTTTATGTAATTGATTAAACTACAATACTTTATATTTATTTAATTTTAGAGAAAAAGATACTTTACAAGATACAGTCAAAAAACTACAAAGCACCTTGTCTATTATCAGAGAAAAAGAAAACGATGTCACAGACAAAGTTAAGAGAAGTTTGGATGTAGCTGAACAGGCGCAATATGAAAAAAATGCAGCTGACGCTGAAATTAGGAGACTTAAAGACGAATTGGACAGACAACATATGAAACTTAGGGACGCTATTGGAGAACAAGTAATTAATACTTATTTTTAGATTAGCTAAAAATTTTCCAAAAGGAACATGTTTTAAATTTTCTTGTGTTAGGGAAGAAGAATATCGGACGAAAGAAGTGCAGTAGAAAGAAGATATACACAGCAGATAGAACAACTAACAGCCGAATTGGGAGTACAGTGGGAAAGCACAAATAAACTACAAATGGAATTGGATAAACAGAGAAGAGAAAATTCAGATCTACGCAGAGATGTTGCTCAAAAACAAGCACTCATTGAGGAGCTCAGAAAAGATATGCAAAGCAAAATCAGTAAGATAATTAAAGTTTTATAAATTTTAGTAGTACTACAAATATAAGCTGGTACAGTACTTGTTAACACATAATACATACATATGAAATAAATCCAGACATTTTAGTAAAAACAGCAAGGACAAATTATGTAATGCTTTCCATAAAATTTTAAATGGATAACTTTCTGTTTGAATTTTAAAGAGAAATATTATTGTGAGAATAGTTTATTTTAAATATTTTAAATTAGACTAAAGCCTCCGAGCCGAATTCGGACCACATTTTGCCTAGAGCGAGCTGTAATGTTGATGTTTGTAAACACAATTTTTGAAAACAAAAATCATCAGAAGAAACTTAAATTAAAGAATAATAGTAAGGTTTTAGAATATTATTCTGCAATTATCATTTACAATTATTAAATTAATTGCAGCTTTGTCCACCCTACATATAAAAGCAGATGATATGAATTTTTATATCGGAAATAACGATATATTTGGTCAGTTCCTAATTATTTTATGTATGGACAGTATAATGTACTTAAATCAAAACGAATAAAACAGGGATAACCAAAGTGCAGCCCGCGAGACCGTTTCATGTGGCCCGCGAAAAAATTGTTCAAATAAACAAAATTGTATTGCTTGATTTCAAAATGAAAAATTAATTATCAACCTCAGAAGCTTTATTAACTAGGAAAATTGAGAGAGTCAGCAAGAAGAAAAAAATACCAGTGGATTAACCGGACACTATAATACATCAACCAATGACAATTAAATTTTATTCCAACATACCAATCAAAACAAACTGTATCTGAAAACGTTGCATGCTGTAGTGTTTTCACTACAATCACGATTGGATTTAAAAATGTCAATTCATTTCCAGAGTAACATATCAAGTTTGTCGGAATGCGCTAGTTCAGTGATGATGTAATTATCCACTGACAATTAAAGTGACAGTATATTTTTTGAGTGCATTTTGTTCGTTTTGTTTACCTAAATTATATCGTTTTTTTCACTTTTATAAATATATTCCTAAAGTAAGTAGATAGCATGTATCAAATATAGAATCGTTTAGTTACCAATTACATACTTTTAAACTATTTTTTTTTATCTCTAAACAATATTTTGAAATAAAATAAAAACAATAAAAACGTATATGTCAAATTTATTGATGTTTTTGTTAAAAGTTTGGCTAGAATTAAATGTCAGTGGAACCAAAATGACATCACACTGAACTAGCGCATTACCAGAGTAAGGTATCAATGATTTATGTTAAACGTCAATGTTGTTTATAAAAGTTATATTTATATTGTTAAATATTTCCAAATACTACCCAAGATGATTTGTTAGAACATTTTGATGTTTTCTTGCAAATTATGCAAATTTTTTGCTCAACAAAATTCCTCCAGAAACAGGCACATAAGCTTATGAAACGTGGTTAGTCGCTCTAGGTCTGCCTGACCCAGGAGTACTAAATACCCGATTTTTTAAATTGGTTTCAAAAAAATATGTTTACATCTTCTTTTGTCAATTTAACTTTCTTTTGTAATGATTACACAATAAATTTGACTATTATGAAATAAGCACCAAATAAAAAACTTCAACATAATACATGCAATAATAATAAATAAACATAAAATAATAATAAAAACAGACAAATTTTTTGGTATTTCATGATCATTCAGTTTTAATGGCAGTTTCATCTACATTGTTTTCTTCTAGGCATTTTTGACAAACAGCTTTTACATTCAAACACAACTAATGACCATTTTTAATAAAATAAAAATAATTCGGGCCCTAAAATTCAAGCAAACTATTCTTAGAAGATGCCTCTTAGATGTCATAGAACTACAATGTCACAACCACATACGTTGATTACTATACAGTGCAAGAGAGAGGTCCGACACACCCAACATAGGGCGCGGCCATTTTGATGCCTTTACCACAGTTTATAGCTAAATAATCAGTTCACTCACTCTGCATCATCACTTTTGATCTCAATGTTCCAGTTTATACACTGCGCAACTCGGATAATACAATATATGACAACCGCCTATAATAAAACAGCAGTCTTCTGCGCATCCTGAATTTGTATCCCTGGAGTGGATGTTATTTTGGAACTTTCAACTGGTCCGAGTGAGCTAACCGATTCTTTAGCAATAAACTGTGACAAAAATAATATTTACTGAGACTGATAGCAGCAAGCAAAATATTAGGAGCGTTTTAATCATCCGCTTCTGCTTCCAGAAATGTCGGTTTAGTCGTTTTAACCTGTCAGATTAAAACAAGAAAACCGACAATTCCGAAGCAGAAGCGGATGATTAAAACGCACCTATTAAAAATATTGCGCCAAGATGTAGGCAACACGTAATAAGGCATCAAAATAGCGCGGAGTTTTCTATCTCCTTTTAAAAGGCACTCAGAAAGCTGCGCAGTGCGACCATTCTCTGTATAGTAAGAGAAAATTAAAGTATGTGACCGGGACCCACATACTTTGATTTTCTCTTACTGATTTTCTCTTACTATACGGAGAATGGTCGCACTGCGCAGCTTTCTGAGTGCCTTTTAAAAGGAGATAGAAAACTCCACCATTTTGATGCCTTATTACGTGTTGCCTACATCTTAGCGCAATATTTTTAATAGGTGCGTTTTAATCATCCGCTTCTGCTTCGGAATTGTCGACTAAACCGACAATTCCGGAAGCAGAAGCGGATGATTAAAACGCACCTGATATTTTACTTGCTGCTGTCAGTGGCAGTAAATATTATTGTTGGAGTCACAGTTTATTGCTAAAGAATCAATTAGCTCACTCGGACCAGTTGAAAGTTCCAAAATAACATCCACTCGGATACAAATTCAGTATGCGCATAAGACTGCTGTTTTATTATAGGCGGTTGTCATATATTATATTATCCGAGTTGCGCAGTGTATAAACTGGAACATTGAGATCAACAGTAAGCGAACTGATTCTTTCGCTATAAACTGTGGTAAAGGCATCAAAATGGCCGCGCCCTTTGTTGGACGTGCGGACCTCTTTCTTGCACCGTATAGAAATCAAAGTATGTGCCGAGACCTTAGAGCATATTATGAAGACTAGTCTTATATTATGACCATAAAAAGAAATTTTCACACTTTAATGGCCCCAGGGCCTCTACGCCTTTAAATCTGGCCCTGATACTAATCAAGTTAAAGGGAATATTGCGTCGATCAAATATTGTCCTTTATACATCTATCTCTTTTTAGTGTACTAAGTATTCAATCGGTCAGCATAACAGCATTATTTACTTTCACAACAAACTATTCCAAATCAGCATATTATTAATTTTATTATTTTAGTTACTCTTCAGTCTGACATTGGAGTGAGTGGAGCCGAAAAAAGTGCTCTTGAACAACAAATATCTACTCTACAAATGGCGAACGAAAGAAACGATAGGCAATCCAAACAGGAAATTGTTCGTTTACAAGCAGAAATACAATCTTTAAGACAAAGATTAGACAGGGCAGATGCAGATTTGATCCACAGCAGACGGGAAAATATCAGATTGTCTGAACAAATTGCTTCACTGGAAAAAGAGGTAAACTAAGTGGATACTTCAGAAATAAAGTATAAGATCTCGAGCCAAATATTCTGTGACCAAATTCTCATTTTTATATACCTAACTTCTTAATTAACTTTTTTTTGGCGACGGTATAAGGAGATTCTACTATTAAAAAATACATTTTTTTCTAGCACATGTTTTTAGTTTCTTGTGGCATAAACGACAAAATAGGTCTCCATCATAATCATTATTACTATAAAAAGAAGGTATAATATTACACCGATTGAAACTACGTCACGGTAACGCATTGTGGTGTATGAAAACGTGGGCTTTTACGATTTTGAGGTATCAGCAGATCGAATACAGCGCGCAAAAATAAATTCTAATCTGTTCATGGCAATATTCCACACCACAATACGTCATGCGTGAACTCGACGAGATTTCGTCGGCTAAGTATCATACATCTGTAATTTTTTTATATCACGGGTCTCCATTGTACGTCTATTTTGTGCAGGTACAACCTATTCCTCTATTTGTAATTCGTAGAGATTAATTCTCCTGTTCTTTTTGGACAGAGTTTTCCTATGAAGGTTTTCCCAGGTCCTGTTTGAATATTTGCCCAGTAATTAGAGCTTATTTGAATATTTATGTAGAATATCGTACTTTTATTCTCTTTTTAATGATTCTTTGTCATAAGAACTTATTTAGCTACCTTTAGTGTGTTTGCTATTCTTACTAAAAGTCTAATTTTCTGCTTGTAATAATATTTACAACTACTATTTGTATCTTTCTATAACGGATTTTATTCTTGTTGAAAAGCACTTATGCTTTCCCATTTCATTGTTAACAAATTCCTTTCTTGCGTTGATATAAAATAAAATATCGGCAACATTTAACTTTATTTAATATTGTAAATCCATACTAAAGAACATTTTTTTACTAGAGAAAATTCACCACAGCCGTGCCAGTCTGTATTTTAAAATTTTTATAACAAAGTTAAAACATGACGCCTAGTTAAAAGAACAGGTAAAAAAGGAAGACGAAGCTGCGTGATTGCAGGAGAATAATTATGTTCTGAATTTATGTCGGGTGAAGCGAAACTAGGGATGCGCATCGAACTTCGATATTTTCGGAACATCGATGTTCCTAATACGATCTTTTATTGACATCGATGTAGACATTTCGATGTTTTGGGAAAACCAGTGCTTTTCACATTGAAATTTAATATAAATTACTTTTTCTTCAAAGTTTGGATAAAAATTCTTGGGATTTGTGTTAATACGTAACTATTTTTACAATTTTTGATATTCTGTTAACCATGGAGTTTTAAATAAATAAACCATGGGGTTTCTAGATAACAATGAGCGCTGCTTTAACAGAAGAAAGAAATAAGACGCCAAGAACACCCAGAGGTGGAGACATTGTAGCACTTCCACCTCCTACTCCCAAAAAAGAAGAAAGAGAATTGGAATTAAGCTCTCTGATCAACGACATGGAAAATAAACATGGTAAGCCTTTTGTTTTTTCCAAATAGTTGTTATATATTAAATTCATATTTTTAACAATTTGACAAATAGGAATCCAGAAATGAAATAAGCTCTATTTTTATTTTTCCATCTTCATGTTAAACTGTTAAAATTATATTACAGTTTTATTTTAACAGATCATCAATTGTATTTAATTTTTTTCTATAATATAATTCGGTCCTTGAAGTTGATCTGTCTGATCTATTTAAAATATTCAAATTCAAACATATAACATTGTATTATTCGATTACCTCTTTTCATTTTCTTTGAATCTCAAAGCTTTTCCAATCTAGGCATTCATATTTCCAACAAATTTATTCATGCTACTCTTATTGCAAACACCTGCATATGTCGTAACCCAAGCAGCAGGCAATATCAGTAAAGTCTGCTAGAAATATAGTGACACTAAATGAATATTGCTGAATATTTAACAAAGGATAAAACCATTAGTTACTACGAAAATCTTTTATACTACTAAGCAAACAAATTCTTGACACCATAATGCTTGTATCGTTGGTGCATATCAACATATTAAAGTACCTGCGATAGATTCTTCTTCTTATCCCATTTTATCCTTAACTTTCAACTCTTAATAAGAGACTCTTATCACAAAAATCCGACAAAGAAGTCAACGAAACAGTTACCAAATAATTTACGAATTTCGAGGAATCACACTTAAACATGATCTAAATTAGACGTAAGCATTTTTTGTTGTTTTAAAAATAAATCGGCAGAAATTTTGCCATGAGTTGACCTGGGAGATTAAATTAAAGAATTGAATTCATGTTTTGCAGCGGCCACGGTAGCCGAGTTAGAGGGCATGATCTACTCCCAGAATCAACTCATGGAAAAACTGTCGAATGAGTGTCATGCTCTTACCCAAAAACTGGATGACACTACGGTCAAGCATAAGTAAGCATTTATCTTTACAATTTTCAAAATTAGTTATCAAATGTTCCATTTTATCTTATACTAGATGCCTATTAGATAGTTCTGGATGTAAAGATTTTTAGTTTAGAGTGGATGATTTCGTTTTAAAAGCTTATATAAAATCGTAGAAATTCCCAAATAGATCTAATCCTAAAATAGTTATTTAAAATTAAATACATTAAAAAATAATTTTAAAATAAATTAAAACAAATTATAAAACAAATTAAAATTAATTTAAAAAATAATTTAATTAATAATTTAAAAAATAATTTAAATAATATTTAAAAAATATTTTAAAAAATAATTTAAAAATAATTTAAAAAATAATTTAAAATATAATTTAAAAAATAATTTAAAATATAATTTAAAAAATAATTTAAAAAATAATTTAAAAAATAATTTAAAAAATAATTTAAAAAATAATTTAAAAAATAATTTAAAAAATAATTTAAAAAATAATTTAAAAAATAATTTAAAAAATAATTTAAAAAATAATTTAAAAAATAATTTAAAAAATAATTTAAAAAATAATTTAAAAAATAATTTAAAAAATAATTTTTAAAAAATAATTTAAAAAATAATTTAAAAAATAATTTAAAAAATAATTTAAAAAATAATTTAAAAAATAATTTAAAAAATAATTTAAAAAATAATTTAAAAAATAATTTAAAAAATAATTTAAAAAATAATTTAAAAAATAATTTAAAAAATAATTTAAAAAATAATTTAAAAAATAATTTAAAAAATAATTTAAAAAATAATTTAAAAAATAATTTAAAAAATAATTTAAAAAATAATTTAAAAAATAATTTAAAAAATAATTTAAAAAATAATTTAAAAAATAATTTAAAAAATAATTTAAAAAATAATTTAAAAAATAATTTAAAAAATAATTTAAAAAATAATTTAAAAAATAATTTAAAAAATAATTTAAAAAATAATTTAAAAAATAATTTAAAAAATAATTTAAAAAATAATTTAAAAAATAATTTAAAAAATAATTTAAAAAATAATTTAAAAAATAATTTAAAAAATAATTTAAAAAATAATTTAAAAAATAATTTAAAAAATAATTTAAAAAATAATTTAAAAAATAATTTAAAAATAATTTAAAAAATAATTTAAAAAATAATTTAAAAAATAATTTAAAAAATAATTTAAAAAATAATTTAAAAAATAATTTAAAAAATAATTTAAAAAATAATTTAAAAAATAATTTAAAAAATAATTTAAAAAATAATTTAAAAAATAATTTAAAAAATAATTTAAAAAATAATTTAAAAAATAATTTAAAAAATAATTTAAAAAATAATTAAAAAAATAATTTAAAAAATAATTAAAAAAATAATTTAAAAAATTATTTAAAAAATAATTTAAAAAATAATTTAAAAAATAATTTAAAAAATAATTTAAAAAATAATTTAAAAAATAATTTAAAAAATAATTTAAAAAATAATTTAAAAAATAATTTAAAAAATAATTTAAAAAATAATTTAAAAAATAATTTAAAAAATAATTTAAAAAATAATTTAAAAAATAATTTAAAAAATAATTTAAAAAATAATTTAAAAAATAATTTAAAAAATAATTTAAAAAATAATTTAAAAAATAATTTAAAAAATAATTTAAAAAATAATTTAAAAAATAATTTAAAAAATAATTTAAAAAATAATTTAAAAAATAATTTAAAAAATAATTTAAAAAATATAAAAAATAATTTAAAAAATAATTTAAAAAATAATTTAAAAAATAATTTAAAAAATAATTTAAAAAATAATTTAAAAAATAATTTAAAAAATAATTTAAAAAATAGTTTAAAAAATAATTTAAAAAATAATTTAAAAAATAATTTAAAAAATAATTTAAAAAATAATTTAAAAAATAATTTAAAAAATAATTTAAAAAATAATTTAAAAAATAATTTAAAAAATAATTTAAAAAATAATTTAATAAATAATTTAAAAAATAATTTAAAAAATAATTTAAAAAATAATTTAAAAAATAATATAAAAAATAACTTAAAAAATAATTTAAAAAATAATTTAAAAAATAATTTAAAAAATAATTTAAAAAATAATTTAAAAAATAATTTAAAAAATAATTTAAAAAATAATTTAAAAAATAATTTAAAAAATAATTTAAAAAATAATTTAAAAAATAATATAAAAAATAATTTAAATAATTTAAAAATAAAATAAAAAAATAAATTACAAAATAAATACAAAAATAAATTAAAAATGTATTTAAAAGAGGGTAATTTAAAAAACAAATTATGAAATAAATTGAAAATTAAATTCAAAAACATATAAAAAAACAATAACAAAATTAATAAAGGTGGCCAACAGAATTCTTCCTAGAAAATTATTCAGGGTGGTTCCTTTCATGGGATACCGTGCTATTTATTTCACATAAAAAGGTGCGAAATATATTTGGATTAATTAGATTTCATAATTTTAATTTGCCCCTCTTCGAAATCATCCACCATTAACTAATGCAGTTACATTTTTATATCCTGAATTGTTTTTCCCCATTAAATATTATCTAAAATTAATAATTAACTTGTGTTTGGTAGGGACGGACCCGGCAAATCCCAAAAGAGAGTCAGATTCGCCATCAGTCCGACCCACCAAACGCAAGGAGCCGATTAAAGTCGATATCAGTGTTAAAGTGGTGCCCAAACCTCGTAAGGTTAGTTCAATATTGTTCAATGTATAAAAAATATAAACAAATCTTTGTTTATAGACTAGACAGAAAAGACGTTCGTATTCCTATGTATATTTAATTAGAGACAGACATTTGGCCGCAAAGACCTTCAGACGCGAGGACAATTAAGCGCAAGGATACTTGGGCGCTGATTATTATTTTGTTGTGTTCATTTAATTTCAATTTTAACTTTAATCGTATGTAAAAGTAAAAAAAAGTGATGTGCATTTCATTCTCACAATTTGGAGCGAACAGCTATAGGCATTCCTAGCCTCTTCAGCCGCACAGGAGGAATCAAGAATCGGGTTTGAAATGAAGAGGTTGAAGAAATGGTGGTATCTTATCCAAGCTGATAGGAAGATAAAAAACCTGGTTGAAGATTAGAATTATTTATCATTACAATCAAGGTGACGGCGCAAATAATATAAATATTCAACTTTTAAGAGATATTTTCTACAATTACGAAATTAATCCATTGCGTCTTGTTTAGATTCTAAAAAGGTGTCCGCGCAATAACTTTATGTCTGGTAAAAGTTAAGAATCTTGAATGGGAATGTAAAGTGCTAAGGAAGACAATTCCACATACTTATTATCCCACTACCCCTCCCCACTTGTTCAATGGCACCTTGTATATACACTGAGGCACAATAAAATCGATTCATTTATTTCTCATTTATTGTAACTTTTAAAACTTTTGGAACTTGTTTTATGGCCTATTATAGATTAAGAAAAAGTACTATTATTTATATTTAATGTTCCCTCTAACATTATACCTGATCTAAAATAAAAATAAAATAATAGAAAAAGTTATTTTTTATTTTTTTTTAATTTTGACAATTTTGACTTAAGGGTAGATTGAGGTGAAGAAAGGAGTGGTAATGGGATGAAAATTTTACTTTAAGATTACAATTATTATATTGTTTATTTATTTATTTATTTCAACTCAGTCTTTTACAATATACAACTATAAACATTATTGCTAGAAAGGCGGCTTCTCCGGGAGGCATATCTGCTGTAATTATTTCTTGTTTGACTTCGTAACGAGCTACGGGAGGTTATTCTAGGTGAATTTCTGGACTTATTTCCCAATTCTAGATTTATAGAACGGGCCTTGCTTCTACAGATTCTTTGAAGGTGTCCGATTCTTCCAAAAGTGAAGCATCTTCTGCTATCATTTTGGCTATTTTGTTGCATGCTTTGCAGGATATTTAAGATTTGTGAGAGAATAGTATTATTAGTAACCTCTTCATTTTCCCGAAATAAAATTTCTCTTAATTGTGCAAGAGACGATCTAGATATGATTTTTACTGCTTCGTATTCCTGGACTGCAATCAGTTTCTCACTCGGCGTCTTGTGGTGTTGTAGCTGAAGAGCTTGCTGTAGTTCCACATCCTGTAGTCCATCAATATATGTTTGCATGCCAATTTGTTCTAGGAAATCTTTGGGCGCCTGTGGATAGGCCAGGTGCAGCAATCTTTTTATATCAGCCTCGAATTCCTGTAGACTCTCATTGTGGTTCTGACTACAAACCTTTAGCTGCTTTTGAAATACTTGTTTCAAGTGCTGATGTCCATACCTTGCTTCCAAAGCTTGGACGAGAGACGAATAACTTTGTTTCTCTTGGGGAAGTAACTATATAACGGTTCCTGCATGTCCTCGCAGCGACACTATCAATGAAGCTGCCATCTCTTTCTCGGCCCAGCCATTGACTCTAGCTGCAGCTTCAAATTGAAGTCGATACGTTTCCGATGTCGTCTGATAGTTAAACGTGGGTGGCTTAAGGGTCTTACTAGCATGGTTTTGTCTAATTAGGGTTCAAATGTGGCTTGGTTCCGTTATAGATAAAGACGAGGAAGTGTTTTTAGCTTCGATCTTGCTTACCGAGGCTTCGCTACGAATTCTTCTTTCTAACTCAACTATTTCAGTTCGTATGTGCCCTTCCAACCCTTTTCTTGTTGTTGTTATAAATTAGCTTTTAAATTATCTTATTGTTGCTCTAAATTAGCGTTTATATTATTTTGTTGTTGCATTAAATTAGATTTTAAATTCTCTTTCTACTGTTCTAAAAGATCTACTTGAATGTTAAGCTGACCAACATCTTCCTTGAAGGTTTCCTGGATTTGTAGAAAACCATTCATATTTTCTACTACTTTTTTTCTATGCCTCTCCTCCTTCTCTTTTTACTTGTCCTTCTTTTACCTTTCCTCTTCTTCTTCCTTCCTGCGCCTTTCTTCTCGGCTTTCACCTTCTTCCTCCTGCTTCGTGCGCCTTTCTTTCTTCTATTCCTTCTTCAAAAACCATGCTGGGGGAGTATCCATGCCTGTTTCGTACGCAGTGGATCTAGTGTTTACCATGAACAGAATACTTAGGTATTTTTTATTTTGTCGTTGTCACCAACTGTTACGGTGGTTTTTGGTAAATTCAATTTATTTCAACTCAAACTTTTAAAATATACAAATATGAACATTAACGTGCAACATCTATTATAAAACTTATATAGCTCCCTTGAACCTTCTTGAACCTTATAGATGCTTCTCGTACTTTTCCTTATGACAACCGCAGCACACCGTAGTGTTTTATTCGTATGTTTCCTATAACAGTCGCAGGCTACTGCATAGTGCAGGGTAACAATATGTATACAGTGTCGGCCACGATTTGTACAAGTGCATGTAAAAACTACAGATAGTTAGCATTAGAAGGAGCAGGAAACGAATAATATCAGCGATGCCGTTTATACGGCCCGACTGCGTTGTAACGTTGGCCAGGCCATATAAACTGGTATCGTTGACATTGTTTCCTGCTCGCCCTAATGCTAACTATCTGCAGTTTTCATACGCACTTGTGCAAAGCGTATTGGAAAGCATTCAATAGTTAAGACTGTATATAGAAAATAAAACGGTGAAAATAATAGTAATATGTTTAATTTGCTTGATCCCAAGTCTCCTGGTGCTCAAATGTGTCTGCGTCCAAGTGTATCTGCGTCCAAATGTCGTAGACTGTAATTTAATATAAATATCTATTTAATTTTTATTATAAAATGAAATCCGTATAAGACGCTTGCTCATACATATTTGCAGTCAGTGGAAATGAAAACTGCACAAAGGACCAAACGATTAATCTTCAATAAGTTCACCCCTACCTTGGTTCACCGTTTTTTTGTAAGCCAATTTTTGTAAGAAGAGTAGTGTGCGGTTTTTAAACAAATTTTATTCTTTTAAAATATATAATTAGTTTTTTAAGGTTTTTGAACTTTTAAGTAAGTTTTATCACCCGAGGGAGAAAAATAGCTATTTATGATACCAGTGTTAAAAGTGACTTTTTATATTTTACTCGGAATATTTCGGAACGGACGATAGTGAGTGGTGCAACCTCATGAAAATTTTTCTTTGAAAGATTCCTCATGGTCTATAAGATAGGTACTCTCATTTAGTTCTTATTATAAATCTTTAGTCTACAATTTCTACCAAAAAAATGCTTTGTATATATATACGAACGTTTGACAATTGTAATCTCCATGAGCGTATCAAATAGTTTTTTCATCACAATCCAAAGGATTGTCAAAGGACAAATTTACAGAAAATGTTTTATTCAAATGTAATAAACGATATTTATAAAAAAAAGGGTTTCAAATGATTACTCTGTTACTAATGTTATGATAATTATTGATAATAATTGTTTTATTATATTTGCATCGTAATTTGTCTGTGGTGGGGTAAAATTTGGCCAATCTTACATTGTTATGGTATGCGATGGCAATTGAAAATCGACTACAGCGCATCCCCTCTTCAGACAAATTGAATTGCGGCGACTGTACATGATAATTCAATTTGTTGTTTTATTTACAAAAAAGAGAAATCCCCTATCAAAAAACCGTTGGTCCTAAATGTAGCAATCCAGTTGGCCATTCAATAGAACCACTTCTCCCAATCTTCTTATTAGGATAATTATTGTCTAACCAATGTCTTACGTCAGCAGCATAAGGTGTTCCGTCTTGCTGAAATTATAACAGATTTTCATCTAAAACGAATTTTCCGTGAAAACTTCGCTGGTTTTCTAATTCGTGTACTTGAAGGTTCAATAGTGTTTTCCTGCATGTCCAGATAAATTGCTTCAGTTAAATTTCCAGGCATATATAAAGGCCCAATAATAGTATCTTTGTATGTACCTGTACATTTTTTTTAGAGTTCTGGGTTCACATCACTCCAGTAACGGCAGTTTTGTTCGTTCACATTTCCATTTAAATAACAAGAAAATGCATCAGTGAAATAGATATTCTTTATCCATTGTGAATCCTCTTTATCTTGTTAGCAATTCTTTCAAAAATTTCAATCCGCTATCATCGCTCATCTTCGCTAAGTTTTTGCGAAAATTCCATTTTATATACGTATGAAATTTATAAATTTTTAATATCGTCCGAATTAATAATTCCCGTCATAATCCTTTCCGAGTTGATGAAGTCGGATTCATTGCAAATCACTTCAATTTGAGGTGCCTCGTTATGTAAACTGAGAGTATTTCATATTTTCATATTTAAGCAAGTAGTTACTTAAATCCCGAACATAAACACAGATAATCTGTGACATAAACATGACTTATATTTCGGTCTAGATTTCTTTAGTTAGAAACTGCAGATGTTCTCAAAATCAATGATTCTTTAAACCTAATATGAAGATCAGTTCTACACGTTCAGCTAGTGCGTAAATCATTATTTTAAACTAGGACTAGGTATAAAGGGAGATAATGTTTACCTGCCGGTGTCGTTTCATAGAATGAGTAATTTTAAATTGTTACCGGCGGAATCGGACAATCGCAAGTATTTATGGACTAAAAATAATTATTAAACAAGTATTATAATATCCAAATCATCATAATTCTGTAAAATTTCAACAGCTATTTACAATTTATTAAACTATTTACTCGAAATTGTTATTAACATCTATAAAATAATTTTGTACGCCAATGTATCGCATCCACTTCGGTTAGCTCTGCCGCAAAACTGTCAATTTATGTGTATGAAGTGGGAGAACTGCGAAAAGCTTTTCCAACTGCTGTCCCTGCTATTACTCGAGATCTCGAGAAACTTCGTACAAGGAGACTGCCAGACGCCAGACGATATGGCGACAACGAAGGTACTACCGGACTGGTTGAAAACGGCTTGCATGACAACACATACATCCCAAGAAAACCATTAGTTACTCTTCCCGCAAATATTCACTGGTTCTATAAAATAAGGCATTTCGTAAATGGTTGCCTAAATAGCTATTAACTCACCTCATTAAAAACTTCATTTTTTAAAACTGAAGTATATCGCTAAAAGTGTCACTTTTAATGATAATTATAAAAAATGGCTTATATACCACAAGACTAAAATGTCTTTTAATCCCTCTTTTAAATCCATCGGGATTAAAAGATGCAATATCTTGATTTATTTTTATATTTTTCTAAGATTTAATTAATAATATTAATAAATTTTGTCTAATACTATAAAAATGTTGATTTATTTTGAGGATTTTGACTCTTCCAGATACTTAAAATTAAACGTTCTGCACATTTCTTTCGATCTCATTTTGAAATGTGAAACCTTTTCCGTCTAGTAATAAATAAAAATTTCAACGTTCGTCGTTGCTTAAATTGTATAAAAAAATATAATTTTGATGCTTAGACTCGACAGGGCAAACTTACAAACCAATAACACTGAACTTATGATAAGATTAGACAATATTTGGACTTACATGAAGCAACTGATGAATGGACAAATTGAAAATAAGGATGATGGACAGGTAGTTATGCTGTATGGTGTGGTTTTAATGTGTTTTGTGTTGTTTTATAGGGAGGAAATACGGGAACTACAAACTAACCTAGAATACTTGAGAAATAAGTTTAGTCAGTCACAGTTTCCATCGTCAAATTTTAAAGGTACATGTGAAACAAAATATTAGAAATTTGTTTTATATTTTTGTACCGTGTACCTTTACCAAAATTCATATTGAGTAAACTATAAAACTGTATAGTAGACACTGTAACATATACTTCCAGAAAGGTGTACTCAATGGTACTATGGTCAATAATTATTGATTTTCAGTTTGATTTTGTTTACATTTCTTCGTTATCCCTAAAATTATCTTTATTTACCTACTCCCATTAGTTGCTTAGAATATTCTTACTCATTTATCTTTCTCCAGATAACCCCTCTAATAGTGATTTGTTATTGTTACATTGTTATTTTTACAATTCTTCCATCGTCATACATTTAATATCTTCAGTCTAAATCATTGTTATCTATTTTGCATTGTCGCAGTGCAATTCTCGCAATGATTCTGCACAATATATTTGTTTCATAATTAGTATCATAATCATCATCATTATCAATATTAGGTTTAAGCCATTGTTGGCTCGTTCAGTCTTCACCTTAAATCCGATCTACCACCAGTTTCTTGGCGATACCTTATATATCGTCTGTCTTGTTTTTTTTTACCATTCGGATCCCCTGTGATATCACCCTAATCCTTTATAGCGTGGAGGCATTACAGCATATTGCTTATTGTACCATAGTTTGAAGGTCCTACTACTTTTCCATTCATTCACTTAATTACGGTCATTCATTCCACGTTGTCGATAGTTAAACACTAGTCGGCTAAGTCCCATGGTGGCATGGCTCATGGTGGAACGTCCTCATGCATCCACGACGTGACTGGAGAGATCACTGCTTAAAGGTTGCGAGATCGTGGATGAACACCAATCTCGTTAACTTCTCTGGCTTTTTTTAGTTTGTGTTTTATCAGAAGTTTAACAAATCTTCTCTCTTGCATTATTTCTGCCAATTGCTTTAATATCTCTTTTTTTACTGATCATCTCTAAATTTCCGTTATGTTAGGGATGAGTCTTAAAACCATATCAAAGATTAAATCAATGATGTTCCCATAATATCGTCCTTCCTTACAAAAACATTGCGCAGATCTTTCTGAATCACCAATCACCAGCATCATAATTATTTTAGATTATATAAGGTACAAATCATTGTATCAGTCAGTTACCAAACTAAGAATGCGTCGCATATTCTTAAGTTTTGAATAAGTGTAGACATTTGACAAACATTTTGCAGTAACAAACTGAGTCTAGTTTAAATATATAAAGAGATGATATGTTAATTTATTATGGTCGCTCTAGTTCATATTAAATAGTTTTTATTTGGACTTTGATCTCATTTGATACTGTAAAATTGATTTTAAGTATTGGCTTTATGTAAATCAGCACTTAAAGTGTGTTACTCATCGTGTTTTGCATGATACTTAGTCTAGCTTTAATTCAATTACATACAATAAAGGTTTCCTTTGTCTCTTGTTTCTATCAAGTTATTCTTTTTTTGTTCATGTAGAAATAGTTTTCAAGTATTCAACTTTTTAAAATACATTCTAATTAATGTACCTACATCATCTTCACTTGTAGTTTGTTAAAATAATGGAAATATATAGATTTAAAATGGATTTGAGCAATATAAGTATTAATTTTCACGAAACAACTTATAAAATTGATTTTCAATGTTAGTACTGTTCCTTATATTTTTCAACTCCATCTATTATCTCTAGTTTCAGCAACATAATTTCTTATCACTATTCCTATATTTTAAACAGTAATTAATTACTGATTAAATTCCACTAAATATATTTTTTATTACTTATATAGATGAAGAACATACTCCAAGAAGCATTGAAAGACCTCAACAAATTAAAAATACGCCACAAGCTGTCGCCTCACCGACTTCACCAGTCCAACCGCCTCAACCAGTTCCAACAGAACCACAAACAGAAGCATCACCAATCCCTCAAACGCAAAATATAAGTTCTACTAATCCGAAATTATCTAAGGAAAATATTGAGGAAAAAACTCAAAACAATCAACAACATTCTGAACTCCCTGAACCAACTGAACCCACACAAGAAAATCCTACAGAGCAGTATCAATACGATCCCAACCAACAATATGATCCAAATCAACAGTACGATCCTAATTACGATCCTAACCAATACGACCCTAATCAACAGTATGATCCTAACCAACAATATGATCCCAACCAACAATATGATCCTAATCAACAGTACGATCCTAGCCAGCAGTATGATCCTAACCAAGTGTACGATCCCAATCAACAATACGATCCTAACCAACAGTATGATCCTAATGATCCCAACCAGCCGTATGATCCAAATGATCCCAATCAGCAGTATAGTCATGATCCCACCCAACAGCATGATCAAAACATTGCTCTTTCGGAAGAAGGAGGTGGAAATGTACAATCTTAATTTCTTTTAATGTAACTAAAGTTGGGTTTCTTTTGTTTAATTTATGGGGGGAATCCCGTGTAGCATTACGACAATATTTAAGATAATAAATTTTTAATAGTACATAACCAACAATATTATCATACCAAAGTTAATAGGCAATTTTTTTCAAAAAAATCTAAAATAGGGAAAAGCAAAACAATAATTACAAAGATTTAGGTTTGGGGATCTTGGTGAGCAAGCAAGCAAGAAAGAAAGTTACAAAATTAAAAAATCCAAAACCGCCTGTCATTAGTCGGGAAGTGCGGGAGTTTTTAGGTAAATTGGTCGGTATGGATCAGTTGCGTGTCTATTGAGGTCGTTAGACTTAAATCTTTGTTTCTTTTTTTCGAAAAAGTTATTTACACATTTAAAAAATTAGTATCAACTCAAGAATAAACTTGATAGTGTTCTTATATTTTTAGTATTTAAAATATAGATATACAGAATAGTGTTAAAAGACTATTTCTTTCATTTATAAATAAGCATTTATTCACGTAATCAAGACATGTTGCATGTTATTATTATTCCCGATCCCCACGTTGGGCGCCAAATGTACTATGGTTTGCTCACTTGGTAGGATTCAGCAATAATATAATTCGATAATGAGAGAATAATAACCTATTTTATTTAAAATAACGAATATAACAACATATAAAATTGTGCAGACTGTCTTCATACTAACCAAGTGGACAGACACTGACGCAATCAAGCCCTTGTCGAGTACATTTCCTTGTAAATGGGCGTAACACTAACAGATATCACTACAGCGTACAATTTTTCTTTTTTTAAGGGAAGCAATATGAACAGTTTGCAATAGACAATACATACCTATATATAACCAAGTAGTCTCTTGTAGTGGTCTTCTTAAAAATATCATAAGTATATAGTGTTATTTAGATTTAGGCGTTGTTTATATTTATAGAATTTGTATATCTTCTACATGTAATTTAAGATTGGCACTTTGGAAATCCAGGTTATTTGGAATGCTTTGTAACCACCAGAAGAATATTTGTTTCAGTGTTATGTAGCTTTTTAAATCTTAAATTATATATATTTGAGTGAATCTTTCTGCACATCTTCTTTAAAAAATGTGATAGTAACAGATTGTGAAATATGTTTAGCGTGTTCGATTTGCAGATGACACTGTATCATATACCTGTTTATTGCTTTTGGTATGGACACAGTTTATAGCTAAAGAATCAGTTCGCTCACTCTACGTCGGCACTTTTGATCTGAATGTTCCAGTTTATACATTGCGCAACTCGGATTTGTATCCCTGGCGCATACAGAATCAAATCATAATAGCCCAAGAGCCCACTGCAAATTTTTACCGCCATCTGATAATGAAATAAAATATACCCCAAAAGCTTGTAAAAACATTATACTTTACCAAATGGCAACTGTGCCAATCCCAATCCTGAGCAAATTGGTTAAAAAAAAAATATTTTATATTAAAAAATCACATAAGGCATTACAATATATGACAACCGCTTATATTCAAACAGCAGTTTTTTGCGTATCCTGAATTTGTATCCCTGGTATGGATGTTATTATGGAACATCCAATTGGTCCGAGTGAGCTAACTGATTCTTTAGCTATAAACTGTGGTATGGAGTTGGTCCTTAATATTATTGCCGCGTTTGAGAATCCACATCGGATGCATTTTTTACATCTCGAGCGTTTTTTTATCCACTTCGGACACATCTGTCCCATTACATTTACGTATACTGAATCACGTGATCAAAGATTTACTACATCTCAGATGCATCCGATATGGATTCTCAAACGCGGCATTGATGTTGATGTTTTCCATCAAGTCAGAATCTTACATCTGTAATCGTCAAAATGTCGAGGAATTGTTTTGGATCAAATAAATTTATTTATTGTATTGGAACTAAGCAGAACCAAGTGAAAGATACTTTCACAGTGTAATAGAGTCGACCTTATAAAAATCCTTACAATTTTTAAGAGTGTTTTATCCCTTTAATGTGATGGCTTGCCGTCTGTGAATAAATTCTTCAGAACAAAATAATTAAGAAAATGAAACAACCCCAAATCGATCACAGTTGTTTAATTTTCTCATTGAAGATGACTAAATTTGAGAGGTTGGATTCCCTTCTATGTCTATATTATTAAATATTATATGCGGCGTTTGAGAATCCACATTGGATGCATTTTTTACATCTCGAGCGTTTTTTTATCCACATCGGACACATCTGTCCCATTACATTTACGTATACTGAATCACGTGATCAAAGATTTACTACATCTCAGATGCATCCGATGTGGATTCTCAAACGCGGCAATTGTTGATGAAAGATAATCAAGATCCAAGGTACGATTAAAGTTCAATGTATGTCTACGATTAACTACCTAATCTTGTACTTTGAACAATTTTAGATTCATATGTGAACCACTAACTATCTATTGACATTTTTATACTTTTTCCTCAATACTTATTATTCCCCCATTGATTTTCGAAAGGAAACCAAAATTCCATTTCTGCTCTATATTTAGCTAAGTAGCTAGTTTGTAGAATGTTGTTGGTTGTTTATAGTTAATAATATATAGACACTTGTAGAGAACTGTTAATGCAATCTAGATATTTCGTTTTTGTGGAATTTAAAATTTTATTATAAGCTAACTATTACATTGTTTATGAAACTTTTATTTCTGTTAGTAAATTAAGAATTTTAAATTTGGTTTATTTATTCGATTTGTATTGTTGACTAAAGTGTATAATTTAAACAATTCAGAGAATGAACAGTACAAAATTGCAGTTGTAATATTAATAAACATTAAACACATGAACTAGGTAAGTAATAAAAAATATCACAGTTTACATTAGGTACTTATATAAACAAGATGTTAAATCTTATTTATTATTCAAGTATTTTCTTTTGTTAAAATTAGTCTGCTATAAGTATTTTTGTACTAATATTAAAATTTTATGAGGTAAAATTGGAGTACGTGCTTCTTAAAAATATTATTTAAAATAAATATTTGTTGCTTGTTCGTCCTATATCATTTTAAAATGTAAGTAATACATTTTTTTATTCAAAATTTTTTATATTATTTCAAAACCTATATCATTCACTACGATGTACATATGCAAAGATTCGTATATGGGAAAATCAATTAACTAAACGGATCAGAGAAAGACGAAAGAAAAAGAATAATCAAGGGTAATATAACGAGACTTTGATAAATAGTCGACTATTTTTATTGTATCTAAATATTTAGTGTATCAATTTGTCGAGACATAATTTTGTCATTAATAATCTGAATAGAGTCCGAGAGCTTTAGCTCGAGGACTCTATTCTCTGACAGTGGGATCCTATGATTGAACCAACGTAACGTACATGTTAGGCCGAGTTTTAACAGCAACGAGGCAAATTCGTATGATGGAAAGTTTTTCATAACACAATACTGTTATTTTCCACCAGAGCTGGGAAGGATTCGAATCACATAGGATTCGAATCACATAGGATTCGAATCATATAGGAGTCGAATCACATAGGATTCGAATCACATAGGATTCGAATCACATAGGATTCGAATCACATAGGATTCGAATCACATAGGATTTGAATCACATAGGATTCGAATCACATAGGATTCGAATCACATAGGATTTGAATCACATAGGATTCGAATCACATAGGATTCGAATCCTGCGATTTGAATCCTTTTTGAGGATCCGCAAGAGGTATTCGAATACTTAAGAATAAAAGGATCCGTGATCCGGGTTCGCCGAGTAAATCCTTAAGGATTCGTATTCGAATCACCAATATTAGTCTCGGATCCTTTTAGAGACCAAACTACGCCGGCGAGAACGGTTGACACATACTTTGACTTGTAGCAACGTGTAAAATGAAATAGACTGAGACTGAAGACCAATTGTTATTATTTAGAAGATAAACGTAACAACCTACAAATTAATATAAAAGAAGGCAGCAGAGCATCTAGACAATTTTGAGTTTTTTAAAGCTTTTTTCTAAAAACAACCATTTGAAAGCTATTTTTAAGCTCGTGAAATATAAAACTTAAAAACTTAAAAACTTGTAAAAATTACTATTTTTACATTATAAAACTAAAAATTATTATTTTTAAATAATGCAGGGTGCTTTGTTGGAACAAAGTTAGCAGAGCACTTCTATAAATATGGAAGAGCACCAATATTGCAATGCAAATCAGAAAACGAAATATTAAAATATGTCACGAAAACATCCTGCTGATACTCTACTTGGGGGCGTTATAATATGCTAGTTACAATATCTATCAAGAGCCGCGTTGATTCCTTAGACAGTTTTACTCAAAGTGTGCTCCGCGGAGCCCCGGGGCTCCGCAAAGCCTTTGTGGGAGCTCCGCGAAGAAAATAATAGTCATAATAAAAAAAAAACAAGAAGCAGTACTATCGCCACAAAAGGGAGGGACCTGTGCTTGAGGACTTTTTTTTTTTAGAAAAGTATTTAGGGCTCCGTCAAATATTTCGCTTTTCAAAAAGGTTCCGTCGTCAAAAAAGTTTGAGAAAGACGAAACACTTCCTTATAAAGTCGAAAATGCTTGATAAATAAAACATCATTAATTCAAAAGGGATTTTTATAAACAAACTTCTTCCTTCTATGCTGTCACTCTTTAATAATGTTTTGATTTTCAACAGCCAGCAAATGTTAATTTCATCAAAATCTGCCACATCACTTTACGGTCCACAAAGTCGCATACGAATTTAAATTCGAGCACTATAGACCACTCGTGTTAAATTCGACATTTCACTAATCTCGCATGCGAATCGAGGTATTCGACATTCGAGAATACTACCCCAGGTCTGTTTTCCACCTGTTCTAATTTAATATATCGCCTCAACAGCCTCAACATGCCGTTAAGAGCCCAACGTCCATGTTACAACTTGATTTATTATATTTTTAGAAATTCGATTTTAAATGGAGGGATTAATTAATTTACATTTAATGCAAGAATTAGAGAATTATAAAATTAAAAAATTAAAAAAAATTTGAAGTAACCTAGTTGAAAATTTTTTGTGATTTTTTAATATTAATTTCTCAATAAATTCCACGGTAACCTATATATTTTATTGTAAAAAACAAAACCTAAATATTTCAAAAACCTCATTTTTAGTTTTTTTCTACTCCATCTAATCAATAAACAATTAGGCATTCCAACGACCTGTCCAAATGGCTACCAGTGGGTAATGACAGTTTAGATATGGCAACCCTGTTGTCATGTTGTCATTAACAGGGTCAATGATACATATATAGTTATATAGATTGCTCAAAGCTGGTCGTTTACGAGCGGCCATATTGCCTGACAAATATTTATTAATTTGAATCGGTTTAGCAAAAATGTGTTTTAAAACCAATTTTTAGCCTTTAGATATTTAAAAAAAAATAATTGCTTACATTTTTACTTCAAGGCATACGCTTATGTTTATTTTAAAAAATATGGATAATCAATCTATGTAACTATCTATTTCATTGACCTTGTCAAATCACCAGGTCTACAGGGTTGCCATAATTTTGCAATATCATAACCCGTCAAAGCCCACTGGTAGGCATTCAGTTTGGAATGCCCAATAGGTGCCAGTGGGAAATTCTTGTATATTTAAGGGGGTAGCGACATAGTCTTGCAACTTGGACGCTATTTTTATTCGAAGTAGTACTCGCCAAGCCTGCCAATTTATGAAGAAATGTATAGGTGGGTTTTTTAAATATTATTTTTATTGTGTTTGACATAAAATATTTAAGTGTAATTAGGCATTCCAAACAAATGAATTACCAGTGGGCAGGTTTGGTATATCTAAGGGTGGCGACATATGGTGTATTCTATCTACTTTACGTAAAATCATGAATAATGGATTACATTTAAATATTTTATGTCAAACACAATAAAAATAATATTTAAAAAACCCACCTATACATTTCTTCATAAATTGGCAGGCTTGGTGACTACTACTTTGAATAAAAATAGCGTTCAAGTTGCAAGACTATGTCGCTACCCCCCCTTAGATATACAAGAATTTCCCACTGGCACCTATTGTTTGACAGGTCGTTGGAATGCCTAATTTTCATTTAGAAAATCTAAAGTATGTCATAATACAAATTAACAAATTAAAACATAATATTAACTGCGTTAGCAGAGATGTGCGTTAGTTCATCAGCTGATTTTACTTTATAGTTATAATGGCTTTTAATGATTATTTCTTTATTTTTTTAATAATTTTACAGTAGATACATCAAAACAAAAATATCGATTTATAGAATATATCGATTATAAAAAATAGAATTCTGTCATCGTGTCATCGGATCATTAGTGAAAAAATGGTGAAAAAATTCAAAATAAGAAACGAAAAAAATAAAGTGCAATAGTAGTTCCCAGGGCCCATGAGAAAATCCTCACTCTTCATTTTTTATGGATGTTTATCGATACTTCTTTACTACCTTGTCCGATTTCTATGATTTTTTTTTGTTAGTAAAGGGTTACCTCAAGGGTGGTCACATATAAATTTGGTCAAGATGTGGTGATGGCAACTTCACAATTTTGAGGTCGGTTTTTTAAAATTACTTTTAATACTTGTTATATATTGCTA